CGGGACCGGGAGAGTAAAAATTTCCGGAAAGATGCGGAGGCGACTTACGGACGGCCCCCCAGCCGGGGGGTGGCCGAATATCCCGGGGTCCGTCCGGATATCCTTTCCCTCCGCCTGGCCCAATCTTAACGTCGGGGTGGAAGACTCCGCTCGAATTTTTATTAAAGGGGAAAGTGGAAAATATGGGTCCGACGCCGGGAAAGTAATTAACGCGGGATAAGCGGACGCCCAACCGCCGTCGGGGGACGCCTTTAAAACAATACCGGAAATAATACTCGATTCTCGCCACGGTATTGTTCGTCCGGAGGCCGTCGGGATTTTCGAGGACGAAGGCGACTTTCCTTTCCTTTCTAAACAAACACGTTTGGCGCTCCGGTCCACTCCCAGTTTTTTCCCTAAAAAGTAAAGGACGTTGGACGCTTCCCGACGTCTTCCTTAAATTCCCTTTGGCATTCCTTGTCTTTTCATTAAAAACTCTCCGTGGCTTTGGCCCGGCGGATCTTCCCTTCGGGCCCCTCTCGGCCCGCCACTCGTGTATTTATAACCCGACGGAGAAAAGGCCTTCCCTCTATTTTTCTCCGAAACGGCGTTCGAACGTAACTACCGGAAACGGCGTTAAAACGAGTCGACCTCGACCGGCTTCGATGCCGCCCGACGAATTATTTCGAGCGTGAGAAGCGTCGCGGCCGTCGGCGTGACCACGCAATTTCCGCGCGCCGTTTTCTTGCCCCCGGTCGAAGCCGCAAACTTCTCCGAACACAAAACCAATTTCCGTATTTGGAGGGCATCCGACGTCCGAGAGGAAGAAACGGAAGTTTGCCCGTCCGCGGACGGGGAGGTCGGCGTCGAATATGGAGGTTCGACCTCGAGAATAACCATACGGAACCGGAGTGGGTAATGTCCGGCGGGGGAAGGTAGATAACTCGCTTTTCCAAAGCCAGAACTGGGTCAAGATCTGCGGGACCGTACGGGATTAGACCGCAAGGTCGAGTGGCCGCCCCACCCGGACGGGTGGTCGTCGTATATAAGAGCGTTTAGACCCCCTCCGCCACATTTTGGAAATATCGTTTCCGAACCTCCGTCTCCGCTCTCTCGACCATGCGATTCCTGGTAAGTACCGTCCTTCGACCTGGCTTTTTCTTTGTTTACGCCGTTGGCTCCAAGGATTCTCGTCTTTTTTAGATACTGTTGAGCTTCCTGGCCGCCGCCAGGGCCGGAGACGACAGCTTCTCCATCGGATTGGGCGTCCTGGCCCCTTCCTACAGCCAGAGAGTGGGTCCCGACGGATCGGTCAAAGTCAACTTCGACCAGCAGAAGAACGGATTCTCCTACAGCGTGACCAACGGGGCCTCCCCCACCTCCAACGTCCAGCAGCAGACGGCGGTGGCCAAGGACGGCCTGGGAGGACACACCATCACCCACCAGGCTCGGGCCGCCCACACCGACCCCTTCTCCGGGGCGACGGCGCTGAAACACAAGGAACACTCCTTCCACATCAATCCCTACCTGGGACGGGCCGCCGTCCACACCAACGCCGCCGCCGGACAGCTCAATCCTCTCTTGGGACAGGCCTCTTTCGCCCAGAACACGCACAACGCCCAGATAGCCCCCGGCCACTCGGCGGTGGCCGATACCGCTTCCAGGGCGGCCATCTCTCCCTTCGGTAACTCGGCCGCCCACTCCGTCCGGGCGGCCCAGGCCCAGGCCCTGCCCGGAGGGGTGGCCTTCGGGACCCACGCCGCCGACAACTCCCACGCCTCCCTGGCCGGATACGGCACCTTCGGACACGCCTCGGTCCAAAACGCCAACGGCTTCCAGGGTCCGGGCTACGGCGCCGTCAGCGCCGTCGGACATTCCGCCCAAGGTGCCTACGACGCCCACGGATTCGGCCAGACCCTGCAGCAGGGCTACAGGAACGACGGCGGATACAACGCTCACCTGGGACTGGCCGGATCCGACCAGACCCTGTACTCTCGGCAGGCGTCGCACGATCCCTACGGAAACTACGGAGCCGTCACCCACTCCGCCCACTCCGCCCAGGCCGGACACTTGGGCCCCAGTTACGCCTCCTACTACCAGGCTCCCGCAGTGCACAATTCCATACACGCTGGATACGGACCGGCCAAAGCCTACTACTGATCTCCGCGCCCCTCCGGTCCGTCACCCTCTTTCTCCCTCTCCTTTCCTCTGTAAATAGTATTGTCTATTTATTGACCACAGACGAAGATCCTACGTGTGAATTTGGTTTTTTCTCTTTCCTCGCCTCCTTTTCCGTCCAATAAAGAACTTAGAAACTCCGCTTCCGACTCTTCCCTTTCTCTTCTCTCGCCGACTTACGTAACGTCGGCCGCGGCCGGGCGGCGCGACTCGGGTGCGCCACCCATTTTCCGTAGAGAAACCGAGGTCGACGGCGCGTTACCGGTTTCGCGGCCAGGCGCGCGTCATTAAGAGACGGAGACTATTTTCGTAGGTTTTATTGATAAACGAATTTCCAAGGCCGCCGATCAGCGGCGCCCGTGGCCGCCCCGGTGTCCGGCATACTTCTTTCCCACCACGTGCTTGACCCCCCACTTGAAGTGGCCGTGGTGGTCGGTCTTGACGTAAGTGTAGACGGGCCCCAGCACTCCGCCTCCGCTCCTCTTGACGCGGATGGCCGCCTCTCCGGGCGGAGGAAAAAACGGAAGAACCTCCGAAGGTCGACGGTCGACCGCTTCCGGTCGGGTCAGAACGGCGGCCGCCAGACAGAAGAAGACGAGGGCCTGAAAAGGGCGAAAGGAGCGATTTAAGAGGCGGCAGAGAAAAAAGAAAGAAGAAAGCCTTACCCGGACGAGAACGTGCATGTCGGTCGAGGCGGGAAGACGGGCCACGGAGCGGCGGGCCTTTCTTATAAGGGAGGCGAAACTAGGAGAGCGTGAAGAAGCGCCGACCCCGTTTCTCCGTCGGCCGGGGACGTCTCGGACCGGCTCCCCCTTCTTCGCGCTCTACTAGGCGGCCTAAGGGGATCGACCCGTCGACGGCCCCCGAGATCCACCCCACCGGGGCAGAAAAGCCGGGATCCTCCCGTAACGAGTCGCGTTTCGTAGAAATTGGCGGGAGAAGACGCGCTAATTTCGAAGAGAATTAACGGATTTAAGCGCGAGTTAATAGGGCTACGCTCAGTTTGGCCGGAGTTAAGTATAAAAGGAAAGGTAAATCGGGTCGAGTCATCCGGCCGTCGGGGCTAAGGACGGATCGTCCCTTAATTAAACGGCTACTTATTTTTATCCGCAGTGCCGTTGCACCTCGAAAGTATAATGGCCCGCCGGCGGTACAAAATACGGAGCTTTTTGCGCGCGGGTGGCGACGGACGGTGGGAAAAAAATTACCGGTGGCCCGTGGCGACCTCCTTGTCCGGCCTGGCGTTTAGGTCAACTTTTCCACTCCCGGTTCTATGCCCGGGATAACGCCAACCTATTTTAACGGATCGGTCGACGATCGAACCCCGTTATTACGTCCGGGGCCAAGTAGACGGGGATCCGGCCATTTCCACCTTAACTAATCGGTTAATTTTCTACCGCATTTTAAAGTCGGGAAAAATTTCCCACCGAAAGTTAATAGAAGAATTAAGCTGGATTCCGTCGAATTTTAAGCTCCTCGTCCGCCGGTAAAAGAATTTTTTGCCTAGAAGAAGCGGTAAATCTTAAAAGCGCGTAATCAAACGGGTGACCTTCGGCATACAAAATATCGGTTAACACCGCCGTCCGCGTATTCCGCCGGTCGGGCCACCCCGCAAAATGTTTGCCACCACCACGGCTTTTTGCGGGGGTGGCGGGGCTCCGCCTGGCCAGGGGAAAGCCGGATACGGTAGCCCGGGCCAGCAAATTTTTCAATGGGTAAAGAATATTTTGCTAACGTCGCCGGGCCTACTCGTTTCGTGGCCGGACGTAATTCGGGGGGAGAGCCCGTCCGAGAAAAACGGCATATTTTAAGACGAGGGGAGAGAGATTCGGGCACGAAGTACAGCGATTCCCAACGGCCGAGTACCCCGTCTGTGCCATTCGCATTCCACCCGCGATCGATGGAAATTTGCCGACGCTTCGTAAACGGACCAAGCGAAGAGACGGGAAAAGGCCGCGGGCAACTAACGAAAGATCTATTATATTTGCGAACAACTGGAAAAAGCTGGCGAAAAGAGAAGTCGACCGACAGAAGCCAGACATACGCGGATAAATATTGAAAATTCCTAAGAAATTGCAATTTCCCGGAACAGCTTACTTTCCGGGCCATTTAAGTAAATTCCGCCCCGGCCATTTACGATTGGGTACGAGTCGACTTACGACCAAGGTTGTTCGTTATCATTTTTTTCTTTCGACCGGGGGAATCGCATCCGATCAAACTTTCGATAAATATTTTTTTGTTTTGGCGCCCCTTCTTATTTCTTGCCCGTTTTAAGTAACGCAATTTCTTACTAGGCTAAACCAATTTTTTATAGAATAATTACGTACACCGTACACGATATACCAAACACGGGAATTCCCAACCTTTCTGACCCGCCATCCCCGTCGATCTTAGCTATAAATATATATCTAACGGCCTTCTACGTAATTTTTAAAAGGCCTTTTTCTATATTTATTTCCGAGCAGAAAAATGTGTAAAATTTTAAATAGTTCTGAATGGTTTTTTATATTTACAAAATTAAAACGCCTCGCGCGCCATCCACGCTTTTCTCCGCCGGTGCCACCCCGGAGGAAACGATGGCGTCGCTTCCGCTCGACTTTAACCCCGCCTCGTTCGTCTTCCGGTCGAAGAATCGATAAAATCTTCGTTCCCCGTCCGGCGCGATTTCCTCCCTCGGGCCACCCGCGGATTCTCCGCCGTCGGTGGCGCCATCTACGGGCCGATCGGGCCACGCCGCCTTTTAAGAGGAAAGAAAAAAGGGCGGAAGGGGTCGAGGCGAAATATTTCCCACGGGCGGGCGGCGGGGAAGGAGACCGAAAAAAAAGAAAGAGAAAAAAAAATACCGCAGCCGACAGGATTCGAACCTGTGCGGGGATACCCCATTGGATTTCGAGTCCAACGCCTTAACCACTCGGCCACGACTGCCATCGGGCGTCCATCGTCGCTTCGGCGTTATTTATCGCCTCTCTCCCTCCGTCCCCACCTTCTCGGGCCGGCGGATTCCGGGAAGACTCGGTCGCCCGCCGCCCGGGGCCGGGGAAACCCCGCAAGAACGTCGTCCGAAGAGGAAAAGTTTGGCCGGACCGCATCGGATGTAATTCCTCTTCTTCCCCCCACCCGGAGAGGGGGTCCGACTCCTTCTCCTCTTCCCCGGAGTTTCCAGTTTTTTATACCCGGTTTTTTGTTTTCGGACCGGGCAGACGCCCGGGAACCATCGGATTCCGGAAATACGTAATAAAAATAAACGTAATAAGGCGAAGGGCGCGATCTGGCCACGGAAAAATCTAAACCCGGGTTATTTTGTCAGGTGGAAAAGCCCCGAGCGCGGACTAAAGATGACGTACGAATTGAAGATAATGGTAAATTCCGCCCCGTTCGATGGAAATGAGACGCTCCTCCGTCTGAAGTGGCCGCGGGCGTCGACTTCTAACGGACTTATCGATCGGAGTCCGACGATTATCCGTTTTGACGGAAGACGGGCCGATACTCCCACACCCGATTCCAATTAATCCGTCGAACTTAACGAAACCGGTAAAGAAATGAATTAAAGTTAGGTCGGGTGGTAAGCTCGGCTAATTAAGTGCCGCGGTCTTCCGCTCGATATAACCGGTAGCTTAACTTTCTCGGTCGCGTTAAAATGTCGGTGGCGCCATCTAGCGATACCTTATTTTAAAAACTTTTTATATTTTTTAATTATTATAAAATGACAAAAAAGGTAGAGGCTGGTTTTATAAAAAGTCGTAAATGCTAATAACCGGTAAAATCGTCATTAAGTCCGACCTTACTCCGGATACGACGCGCCATCCCTCTATCTCCCCATTCCCTCCAACTTTAACCGCTAATATCATCCGTCCTCCTAATAAACAAACCTTCCCGAAAAATTTCAGAAATTTTCGACGAAAAAGCACCGATGTTATTAAGCTTCAAACGGAGCCAACGAAATCGTGCCCCCCCCCACACACACACTAACGTCGAGAATTCTTCCCGCTTAGACAGGTTTCCATTTTATTAAAATTCAGGTTTACCGTGCGTTAAATCGACTGCGGGGCCATCCGTTACCGGGTTTTGTTACAAAAAAAGTCTATATTGATTAAGAAAGAAAATCTGGCGCCATAACTCGTATATAAGGAGCATCGGTGCTATTAAATTTTGGGAGTTAGAGGTGGAGAGGGCGAGGGAGATACGGGAGATGGCGCGTCGTATCCGCAGAGGGGTCGGCTTTACGAAAATTTTACCGGTTATAGTTAAGTTTGCACTCGGCGGACGTCACCTACTTACATTAAAGTTTAAAATTAAAAACTCGACTATATTTCGGGTATATTTCCATTTATTATATAATGCCATCGTTTCCTACCTCTCATCCTTACATTTTTATACACTTTTTGTCGACTTTGTCAGTTTGTCTCGGTCAGATTAAAACTTAATTTTCACTCGATGGCAAATTAAATGCTAAACCGAGAAGAATTTTCGTGGTTCGGTGTCGAATTTCACAATCCCAGTGTTTTGCCAACCCCCGCGTTTCCAGACTCCCCCAAAAATTCCGTGGACTCGCGCGTGAAGGCGTCTACTTCGTTTAATATCTCGGGTTGTGGGTAAAGATTAAGAAACGAAATTCGGCACGGTAGCTAATAAATTTTGGTGGTTAACGTCGAGAAGGCGGCCGCGGGTCTTCCAGTCCAATCACACTCCATTGTACTCATTTACGGTTTTTTTTTTTATAATGAAAACGCTTCCCTACCCTATAAATTAAGTCTTGCCATCTTGTAATTATTAAAAATATAGCGTTTTTATAACGAACTCTCCTAACGGATTTTACTTACTTAATACGATTAATAATTTAAAAGTTATTTTTAAATAAAATCTTGTATCAGCCGGAAAAGTTAAGCAACTCGTCGCTAGTTTTTTTCTTGTCGATAAAAGAGAAATTTCCAATATTGCGCCCAATTATTACCGCGTAAGCCAACTTAGTCCGAGAACGGATTATGATAGGGATGCGCCACTCGGCTTTCCTGCGGCTTCCAAAGGGCGCCGAGTTTACGTTCGATAGGACGAAGGGAAGAAATCCAGTGGCGTACCGTGGGTGTCAGCCGCCCGGGGCGGAGGAAAATTTCGCCCCCTCTTATTTAGGTATTTCAATTTAAAAGACCAAAATTCAGTTTTGTCACAGAACGAGCGATGAAAAATTCGGTGGTAGTGCAGCGACCTGTTTACGATAGTTCTATCGGATATTAACTTAGTGGCGTATATGAACGCGAATGAATCGTACAAGCAAAACAGAAAAAAAAAATGAACAGGTTCGATTTCCTCGGATGAAAAAATTACTAGTTCACTCGGACGGCCAGCCGATTCCCGGTCTGTCCGGACGATATCGTACTGCCAAGTATAGATTAGGATGTTTCAAATTTTTACAAGATATTATTATTATTTATTGTGAAATTTTGCTGCCCCATAAAAAGTGCCGCCCCCACTACGGTACGCCACTGAAGAAATCGTTGTTGTTCCGCTGTTTTTTGTAAAAATTATAAAAATAAAAAGCCTGGTTTAGCACTTTTTACGTTTCCAAAAGATGTAAAATGATATTTTGGTACAAAATATGCTGGACAAACACGCAAATATTTGAATCCGTTTATGTTATTTTATTAAAATCGGCAATTATTTATTGTCACGTTGTCACGATGCCGGGCTGCATTTTTTAATTTTAAAATATATGCTCTCCATCTCAAATGAGTAGTCTCGCCCCCGTACGTCATACTTTTTCTTTAACAACGGAGTAGTGCCGGTTATCTAGCAAACACATTTCGGGGAAATTTTTGAGTCAAAAATAATGCGACTCGCCGCTTGCCAGGGAAGTTTGTACTGTATATAGTTAATCGGAGCCTCCCGCCCCTGAGAATTCCATATCCGGTCTCGACATTCATATATTTAACTTCGTTTTCGAGATTGAGCAAAGACAGACAGCGGACAGACGACAGTGGCAATTTAACAAAATTTAATTTTACTCACAAATTTTGTTCAAATTTGTAAAATTAAAATTGTTTTAAAAAGGTTTCTGAAATTTTATTTTTTTTTTAAGTTATGTAAAGCATTTCTTACCTGCAATAATAAATGCGAAATCTAAATACATAAAATTACTTGTCCTGACTGACCGAGTGATTCATCATGGCCCAGGGCAAACCGCCGAACCTAGAGATGAAATTTTGTACGCAGTTAGGGTACGACACGAAAACATACGCTAAGAAGGGATTTTTCGAAATTCCCCCGCGGGGGAGAGGGAAAGGATTAAGGCTTACCGCGAAGAACTCGCCTTCTATTATACTATTTTAGATGCCTTTTTTGCATTTATGCCGGATATCGAACATATTTTTAGACTCTGGTAAAAATTCTCCACGATATTTAGTGTTCCGTCGTATATAAAGTTGAAACGGGGAGCGCAATGGCGTAAGTCGCCTTTATTCCAACTCTCGATCTTAATGTTGGAATTTAGCCTATATTTACGAATGATTCGGGAAGATGCGGCTTATTTTTCGAATTTAGTAAACTCGAAGAAGAATAACGAACATTTTCCTAACCTCTTCTGGGTTCTTCGGAAGGGGTTAGGAAAATATTCGTTATTCGTCACTTAGTGATACCGCGCGTCGGTTAGTAGTTAAGCCACGCGGGCGTTTTTCCACGTCGAGGGGGCGATTTGTAACAATTTATATTTTGGGGGCGAAAAACAATTTTAATGACGTCCACCCACCGAAATAGAAAATGCCGGTCGATTATATTTTGTGGTGGTCGGAACCGAGTCACGCGGAAATAGATTATTTTTTTAGTCGTAATATCGAGTGAGTATAAAGCGGTATTAACAGTAGTAGTAAAGCAGAAAATACAGTATAAAGTTTAGCTCGCACGTTTTCTTCAATAATTTTAAAACGGTTTACTTTTGCTTAATAAATTACTAAGATTATTTATTTATTTTTTTGAACAAATTTTAACTTCATACTCGTACCTCCCAACCAAATCGTACAAAATATATAATTTTAATATCGCGATTAGTCTTTTAAATTTAAATGTACGCGCGCGGATAACGAATAACAGAAAGTTTATACTTTGTTACAGATATTATTCGTAAAAAGGACGAAATATATAATTAAGATAAGTCAGAATATTCTTTGAGCACGGATTTAATGTAGTTAGACGAAACAATAAAATTAACTAAGTTTTGTATACCTCCGAAAGAGAAATTTCTTGCTTAACAAATTATAAAGTTTAAATGTAAAAGTTATTGAACAATCTTGAATAAAGAATATTCTCCATAGATTACTCTTATCAGAATTTTTAAAAAAATGTTTTAGTTAGAATTGACAGTTCTTTCCGTCGATAGACATTTTGCGCTTTCGAATGTCGGTTCAAAATCTGCGCCTTAACAAACAATACTTTTCATATATAGATAGAAATATCATATATCCAGCTCCATCACGGATATATCTGTAAATATGTTTAATCAAATTTGTATGACCATTTTTTAAATTAAAAGTACAGAATTCTTGTATAAATTATTTAACAATCAATAATACCGTAATTATTTAAATTCCTTCGAATATGTTTTAAATAAGAATTTCCACGCGTTTGGTGGTGGAAATTGTTTATCGACGTAAGTGCCGGGAAAAAGTAATGTCGCAATTTGTACCGTAATGTTTTCGTAGTAAGCTATTTTTGTTGGCGCTGCGTAGGAAAATACAAAGCCAAGCGTCTATATTTAAGTTTCCGCGGGATTTGATTAAAAAAGCCAACCGACGAATTAGAGAATTTGTAGAAAAAATAACTTATTATTTAAAATGTTTTAACAATTATGCATTAAAATCTATGAATTATATTTAGGTGAAAATTATATTAAATTGTTAATTAATTTGCATTTCCACTTAGCGTATTCTGTTGTAATA